ATTGACCAATATCAAAGTCCGGATATTGACCAAGACCAAATTTCGAATACTGACTAGTACTCACAATTTTTTCTGTTGGCTCATCATCGTCTAACTGGTCAATACGAAAACCGGAATTTGGTGCTGAAAGTTGATTGGGATTTGGATTAGAGAAAGGTTGTGGGTTTTGAGAAAAACTTAGTTGATTACTACCCGCTACTGACCCAACAATACTACTTCTAGGTTCAACAACATACAATGTAACATCATCTTGTGAAACACTAATGTAAGCAATGAATCGTTCAACATCTTCATTGTCGGTTAACAAATAAACTTTACCATTTCTCTGATAAGATAGCCTAAATCCACTTAGGGGCTCTAAATTCAATTTATTTGAAACACGTAGCATTAGAGTTTCATAAGTTAACTTTTGTAAAGACAATTTTAGTTGAAGATTCATGGGTAAAGGCTATATTGTAAAACACCATTAACATTATCCCATGACCCTCCAAAACACAAATCTATCCAAACATGATCAACATTAGATGATTTCATGGTTGTAAATTAATTTACTAAACAGACGAGCTGCGAAACTAAAACCTGTTGCCGGATTGGGAAGGATGTCGTTGGATATAGGAACGGATGTCGCCGGAGAGAGTGATAGATGGAGATGGAATGAGTTGCGATTTAGGGATTTAGTTTATGATTTCAGTGTTATATACCCAAAATTTCAGTGTTGTGATTTACAGACATATGCCCTACCGGATTTACAGATTCTCGTTGCGATTTACGGATTATCGTTGCGATTTACGGATTATCGTTGCGATTTACAGATTCTCGTTGCGATTTACGGATTATCGTTGCGATTTACGGATACGCGTTGCGATATACGGATACGCATTGCGATTTACCCATACGCGTTGCGATTTACGGATACACGTTGCGATTTACGGATACGCGTTGCGATTTATGTGTTCGCGTTGCGATTTTCATATTCGCGTTGCGATTTTGGAAAATCGCAATGCGAATTTGTACTATCGCATTGCGATTTTCAAGAATCACGTTGCGATTTTGGAAACTGATTTGCGATTCTGGGGATCGCGTTGCGATTTTTATTTCGCGTTGCGATTTTATTGGTCATTTTGACAAATCCAAAAAAAGTTGGTTAAAATCGTATATTATAACTTTTTTTTTGTCACTGAGGCGATTTTCTCTTCCCTAAAAGAGAATAATAAAGGAAAGAAGGCAAATACTAATTTGTGCAACTGTCTTTTGGATTTCTCTAGAGACTCAGAAATTTCTCCATCCCTCATTTAAGTTCTCTTAGATATTATAACTCCCACCAATTTCTCCACATCAACAAAATTCTCCCAAACAGAGAAGGAAGGAAAGAAAGAAATGGGTTTGATCCGGAGATTTAAGCGAAAGGACATTGACCAAGTTAACGACGACTTCTCCGATTTCTCGCTCTCGTCGCCGGCAACCACTCGATGCTGATTTGGCCCCAATAATCGAGGAGGACTCCTTCCCTGAGGATCACGAAAGAGCCATCGTTCTCTTTAACCCGAACCCACTTCATCAGCGTAACACAGCTCCCTTGTGTTCTTCTCCTTCTACCCCCATCTTCTCCCCCCATTCCGACCTCATCTCCGGCTTCAAGAGTACGTTTTCTCATCATTTCATTTTTTTCCAGTTCTTCCCTGTTTTGGGCAATTTTTCCCGGTTCTGATCTTGGGGTTTGAAATTTTGTCGTGCAGACCAATTCCTACGGGCAACAGACACGAAATCAGCCGAAACAGAAGAGGAGAAGGAAAACGAAGGGTGTTTAGCTGTTGTTCCGTGGGTTTCTTGTCATATCCCATAAGTGGAAAGAAGAGATGGGGAGCAGGAAGTTGCAGTTGCAGAGTCGATGGAAACAGATGAAATGGAGGTAGAGGAGAAAGAAAGCATGGAGGAAGAGGAAGGGGATGGATACCAATTGGAAGGGTTGAAGCCAAGAGAGGCCTTCCATCGTCACTGGGGACAGCCGCAGCAGCAACATTGCAATGGCCAAGGAATGAGATGGGTGAATGGAGGCTTGGGGCTTCCGCTGTTTTTGCTTGCCTTGTAAAATTATCCATTGATTTCTCAGGATACCCAAAGTTTCTAGGGGGCGTAAATGGTTGTAATTGTGCTTGAAATCCTGTAAATCTGTTACGCTTCAGAAATACGCTTCCCTTGCGAGTCTTAGGTATAATTATCCACCTAACTCTTCACACCCTAATTCCTCCATATAAATATTCTCATCCTCAATCATTTTTATCATATCAAATTTTCTTAATTTCTTTTAAATATTCTTATAATCTCTATCTAAAGTATATTTTATTATATTTTTAATATTTTATATTTAATTTATTTAATAATTTACTTAATTAATTTTTTTACAGATATAAAATAGAAGATGATCTATTTCGTTTAGATGAAAATCATATATTTTGATACGTGTATCTCATGTCAGCATAAGGCGCACTTCAAGAGTCACGTTTTTCTGTAAAAGATGTTAGATCGAAAAATATATTATAAACGATACCTGATCGAGAATATTAAAAGTAAAAGGTGATTTTTCAAAAAAAAAAACACCCTGTTAATAGATCATTCTTATTTATGATTGTTAAGTTAAATAAGTTAATATAAATATTTTTTTATGTTCATTAATAAATGAACGAACACAAATAAATTTATTCATATTCACGAATAAGTTTGTTTATGAGCTTGCTTATAAGTTAATTTATCTATTTAATTATTTACGTTCATGAATAAATTTATTTATCCAATTTTTCTTTTTACTTTTTTACATTTTACATTTTAAATATTAGTAAAAATAGGTATTAAATTGAACACATAATAAAATTTAAAATTTAAAATGTTAAATTTAAAGAGTTTAAGTAGACAATTTTATCATTTTGCAAATGAAAAACTAAAAATTATGTGTGTATACACACCAACGCTAAACAAATATTAAATAAATACTAAACAAATATTAAATGAACATATTCATTAAACAAATATTAAATGAACATATTCAGAAATATATAAATAAATATATTCACGAACATATCTATTAATGTTTACAAATAATAAACTGAACATGAAAATCTTTAAAAATAAATAAATTATATAATATTATTTGTTCAAATTCAGTTAATTTTCACCCATATATGCATTGGAAAACCGTTTTAATCCAATGTTGACTGTTGAACTACATAGCAATACGTTCGATTTCCACATCAACCATTAGATTAAAGCATTTTCATTCCTCTTTCTTCGCACCCTGCAGGGCCTTAATGTCAGTTGGTTTTCATAATAAAATATAATAGCATATTTGCATATAAGAACTACAGGCAAGGTAAACACACGATCAACATTTCAACCCAAAGGATAAGATAGATAGAAAGAAACATTTAAAAATGAAAGAAATTTCACTTGTTGACAGAATTGCCAAATTAATCGTTAGCTTTTTATATCCCCACTCAAAATCTCCTATTTGGGTGGAAATCCCCTTGTTTAGATGCTTAGCGGCCTAACTTCCTTTTGCCGATTTAGCTTTAAATAATGGTCAATATGACCTGGCTAGCTTCTAATAAATGTATACCCCGCCACCAATACCATAAATCTTGGAACAAGCTCTGCATCAGCCAATTTCAATCACTGTAACTGCCTTAATGTCAAAAATCCATTCTCCTATTGTAATGTCTCTTGTTCACAAAACCTGATATGTATCCTGACTGACTTTTTACCCTAGCATGGGTCTTTTCATTTTCCAACTACATCTAGCGTTTTTAGCACCATCCTCATTCAGTTAGTCCATCCTTGCTAAATTGCAAATAAGAGTAATATAAGAGCATATAAGCCGAAACCAAGTTCATCAAACTCTTTTTATTTGCATCATGTTAGTCTCACCATATTTTCAAATGTTGATCGTGCTCCTTTTGCATATGGCCATCCCTAACCAACTCTTTCAAACAGTAGAATTACTAAGCTGTCTTTAAGGCTTCCATATTTCTAATGGTGAACCCTTGAACTATTCCATAATCTTATCACTAGTTATCTACTTAACACCATCCCCCAAATCTATAAATACAACTCCGTTGCAACATTCACAGATTCCAGCATTTATATTCCCTCGTTCATCCTGAGCTACTATACTTTCATGGCTGTGTTTTCATTGGTAGAGCCTATGATACAAAGACACAGGTCAACTCCCCTCATACCAATGTCGAATATGAACAGGCCACCAACACAGTGAAATAAGTAGTGGATATGCCAGGAAACAGTCAGAAAAATGAAAACTAAATCAGAGACATCCTGACAAGGTCAAGACATGGCATGGACACAGGAGGGGTATGATTTTGTGGACCTTGAGTTTGAGAACTGGGAGAAGAGTGGAGACAGAAACCTAGTGCTTCAGTTTGATGGGTTACAAGGTGGGTGTCTCATAATCAGATGTTAAAAAAGATGTTAACAGTGGTCCCTCCTTACAGACACACATATCTTGACAATCTTCAGCTTTCTATATACTATTGTCAATTAGTACAACTTTTACCATGGACAAATCCATAGTTCCTGCATCACAGTCGATCCTGATACTAGTCACAATCTACGATGCCCCAAGAACCTATTAAGAATACTACAGTCAGGAACTACCTCATGCACCAAGAATACTCCTCTAATAAACCCTAGTCTACAAAGACATAATTACAAAGGTTTCTGCACATTCACACAATTACAAGTCATGCAGCAGTGGTAACAAAACAGGGCAAAAGTGGAAAATTTGCTGCTTAATTATATGCACCAATTCCACAGGAAAAGCAAATACAATCCTTCAAAATCTCTCCATCTATTCTTTCAAACAATGATAACCTTAGCTAATAATGCAAGAAAGGACTTCTCCAAATAATGAGATCAATACAACATTAGGTACTAATTTGTAGGTTTAAGAAACTGCAAATAGTAATATTAGATAATGTAATATTAGATAAAACAACCACAACAAACACGACTATTGATGACAATTGCACTATGTAACACATAACATACAAAGTGAAGTCAAGAGCAGAACCATGGAATCCGTAGAAACGAAACATTCAAAACAAAGTAAATATATGAAAGGGGATCAGTCAATAAGGCGGAGCAGGAGAAGGAGAAGGAGAATTGGGTCTAGACAGGGGGGATGTTAGAGAAGGAGAAGCCTTTGTATCCCTTATACGCATAATACGCAATCCTCGTATAATAGAATCCCGGAATGAACAATATGGATCCGAGTATCGCGAAGAAAAGCCCTAAAGGAAACAAGCAAACGCAGAAATCAACTAATTAATCGGCCTTACATAGAAAATAAAGCTTTTATTCAGAGTTAAAGAAAGAACCATGGGCTCGGTCACCGCCAATTCTGTTGACGGCCATGAAGATGCCGAAGATGATCCCGAGGGTGCCGAATACGAGAAGAGCGACGGCGAGGCCGATCTCCTTGTAGGGAGGACGATTGTTGACGGCGTAGGGATTGTCTAGGATGATATCCTCGTCGGATATCGAGAAGGCGTGTTCTACGTACATTTTTTACTTCCGTGTACTATGGAATTGGATTTGAGGAGATGAATTTGGGATTTTGGAGGAAATTTTTAGCTGCCTAAGAACAAGAAAGGGGAAAGGTCAAAAGTCAAAAAATTGAAACAAAATTGGGCAACATATGTCGTGGGAAGTTAACCAAATACAATGAGAAAAGGGAAGTTAACCTTCTCTTTTTAAGTTACTGTAACTGAATAGAGAGCATATATGTCATGGGAAACAAGAAATATCAGTGACCGGAAGTGAATAAAATTAAAATAAAAGTGACTATTCTTGTAGTTTACCGGTTTTAGTTAAAAGGTTAAACTATACCCGGGATCACCAACTATAGCCTTATTTTTCATTTTGACTATTATTTTTGAATTCTTGTAAATCAGATCCTTCAACTATTTAAATAAATTCAATCATACTACTATCGTAATGTAAGCATTGGCGTGGTAGTTAATAAAATTGATATAATTATACATTTGATCTTTAATATTTATACATTCTTTTAATTTGATCATAATTTTTAATTCAATTGAATAAATTTAATCTCCAATTAAGTAATGACATGTGTCACTACCATGAAATTTTATTAATTTTTATTGTTTAATTTATTTTATATCTAATAGATGATGACACGAGTCAGATTTGAAACAAAACATTTCAAAAAAATATAGTTTGCATTGAGGGGCTTCGATCCCACAACCAACCACTCCACCAAGCGTGCCAAAACTACAGGGCTAAGACTTGACATTAATATATGGTTTTTTATAATTAAATAACAGAGAATACAGAAATTTAACGTGCTTGTAGAGTGATGAAAACTAGGAAACTTATGAGGGAGTGCAAGCATCTTAGGCGCTCAATCAAGTCTTATATCCAATTAAAATTTATAATATTATATAAATATATATATATATATAAATTAATTTTTTTTTAAAACAGAAAGTAAAATTTAGATTCTTATATTTTTAACTATATTTATTTTTATATAGTTTCTTTATATATAATCATTCAATTAACCTTTTAATATAATTAATAAACTGAATCTAATTTAATTCTTTATATATATATATATAAAGAATATTAATTATGTTAAACAATTAAAATTATACTTTGTTTATATAAAAATAAATATAGTTTAAAATTTGAATTCAAGATTTGGTGAAAATAATTTTTAATTTTCAAAATTATTTTAAGAATATTAAATTTATTTTTCTACATATCAAATTTTTTTTAAAAAAATTAAAATTTATTATTATATTAAATATATTTAAAAATATAAAATGTATATATTATAAAAATATTAATTAAATTTGCTTAAATAGTTTTGGTGTTTATATATTCTCTAAAAAATCAAGATTTGATTCATTTTATTATTTTCTTTATAATACAAACTAAATAAAATATGTCGTAAAATATAGTTCAAATATGAGTATTGATGCTTTCTACGAGTGATTCCAGGTGAGCGTTCGATCGAGTCGAGTCAAAAAATTTTGAGTTATTCGAGTCGACGAGTCCTATTTTACAACTTGGATTTGATTTAAAATTTTTTCTAGTCGAGTTTATAAAATTCGAGTCCAGTCGAGTCGATTTTTTGAGTTTCTGTTTAAGTTTAATTGTAAATATTTATAATATTATTTTATTCCAATTTAAGTTACTTTCTATAACCATATATACAATACAAATATATTTCTTCATATTTTTTTCATATGTGATATACATATATTATACAAAGTCCAATGACTCGAGTCAAACTTGAAAATAAATCCACTAGTTACTAAAAATTTCTAGTTATTCAAGTTTCAGTTTACAACTTGATTTGAATTTGAATTTTTTTTTCGAGTCGAGTCGAATTTATGAAATTACAATTTGAACCCAATTCGAATCGAGTTTTTTCGAATCGAAAAATTTAATTTTTCGAATCGAGTCAAATTTTGCTCACCCCTACCCATACCCACTCAAAGACTTAAATTCGATTCGTTACAATTTCTTTCTCTCTTTTTTCTCTTTTAGTTTGTTTTCTTGTCTTCAATTGGAAAGATAATATATGAAATGTTGTAAAGAAGTTCCGATTATAGGGCTACGCCCAGTGGCTCAGTCATTAATGGCTGATTTAGAGGTCAATAGTTCCATTCCTCATAGTTGCCAATTGTTCGTATCCCATTTTTTTTAATAACAAATGGGGTGACACGTGTCACCACCTAATTGGATTAAAATAAAATAAATTAAAAAAATAAAATTAAAAAAAATTCATCCAATATAGTAGTGACACGTGTCACAACCTATTTAGAGATTAAATTTATTAAAATTAATTAAAATTATGACCAAATTTAAAAAATGTATAAATATTGAGTATCAAATGTGTAATTATATCAGTTTTATTAACTGTCACGTTATCATTTCCGTTAACTATTAACGGCTAGGGGTCTGATTGAATGCATTTAAATAATGGTCTAATTGACAAGAATTCAAAAATGGTGGTCAAAATGAAAATGAGCTATAGTTGGGTTGTCACTAGTATAGTTTATCCTAGTTAAAATTTTTGGATAACTGCCATTTTGTCATTCAAATATTTTTCTTTTGATCAACCAACTTTCTTTTTTTAAAATATCATCTTGATATTAGTTTTAATTCTATTTTAATTCTCTATTTATGAAAAAAAATTATTATACTGCAGTAGATTGAGTTAGAGTCAGGTTCATTCTAGGCCTATTGTTTATGATCCTATGATAGTTCATAAAAATCGATAATTAAAGAATCAGACGATAGCTTGCCTTAAAGAATTATCTGATTTTGATCGCCTAAAAAAAAAGCTTACGTTCTCAAACTGGTTTACTCAATTCGTTTCAAGAAACTCTCCAGTGCATATCTCATTCGACGTGGATTTTCAGAAGCATGTTAGAATTTCATTTTCAATATGTTTGGTAAACTTTATTTATCTTGATTTGATTGTTGAATTGGAGTGTCAAAATTCAGATATAAGGCATGGAGGAAGCCTTAAACTGTAAGTTAATTCCTTTCTAAGTTTGATGAAATTCGATTGTTTATATCTCCTACCATGACTTGGTTTAATGATAGGAAAGACGTTCATATAACTTACAAGTTCTTATCATGTTTCAATTTGATTTAAATTTATTTTAATGATCGAATGAGTTTAATTTATCGATTCGATGTTACTAACAAGATCAACACTTCAGATAACTTATAAAAAGAAGTTATAAAACTGGAAAATGGATGAGGGTAGCATGTCTCTGCAACGGGTGATAAGACCGGCGCCGAAGTGCATATCGACGATCTGATGGGTCCTGGAAATATGGTGGTGGCGGAACCGGAAAGGAAGATGGGGCCATTTCTTGATGCGAATAGGGCAGTCGTTGAGAAGTAAATTGGTGTGGATGAAGTAGAGGATGACATAGATAAAAAGGAGTGATAAAGCACCAAGTCAAATAAAATGCTTTACAGATTCAAAGTTGATTAGCTTCAAAGTGCAACATTAGTGGCATTTATCTCACACGATTCCAGTCCTATGAATTTTCATAGAACCAACAGCGCAATGAGGGAAAGAAAAGAAATCAATTCCGACGGCTTCTGTCCATACCCGAATCTCCGTTTAACAGATCCGTAATAGGGTTGGATCATTATATTGAATTTGTAATTTACAACCGTGGGAGTTGGATTGGTTTTTACTATCATTGAAATATTCGAAAATTTGCAGGCTTCATCGAGCTGATAATTCTGTTGAAAGTAGCTGTTGAAGGCATAAGAAATGTTCCCCCTAGAATCGAGATTCCCGCAAGATGTACGTAACCAAGGCTAGTGCAGTCAGCAGACGAGCATGCATAGTCCACGCTTGGTGCCATCGATGGATCATCGAGTCTGGCAAAAGGCTTCATCACATACTTCTTCTCCAATTATTGTACACCATTTTCACGAACTAAAGCTCCAGAGTTTGTAGTTCCGAGGTTCAGAGGGTATTTGGACAGCCCATCATAAGTAAAATCCTCCAGTGGAATTTGAAATTCCCCGGAGCAATGCTTTAGCATCCTCAATGATCAAGCTGAATAAATATGCATCTATTGGCCCAGGTCTCATTGGGGTTCCTTTCCCACCTGAAATATGAGACAAAACCTTGATTGTGTTAAGTGTGACTTGAAGGCTTGCAGGTTGGCAAGTTGAAGGCTTGCAAGTTGGCAAGATTGGCAAGCGGCCAAGTTGGCAAATAGTCAACTTGAGCACATGGGATAATTCATCCTTGGTTGGCAAGTTGACAAGTTGTGCAAGTGGCCAACTTGTGCACATGGGAATTTCATTTTTTGTCCATAAAATATTAGGTTATTTATAAGTTTAGTCCTTAAAACTCAACTATAAATAGGCCTAAGTATTTCCATTAGAAATCATCCCAAAACAAGTTCTCTCTTCCATTTTTTTTCTTCATTCTCTCACTTTGGAAATTCTAAAGAATTCCATTTGTTGTAATATTGGCAATATAGTGAAGTTATCATCCGGTGTGGTAACCGAGGAGTAGACGATATTTTCATCGAACCTCGTAAATTTGGTGTGTTATCTCCTTTATTGTTCTTTATTCGGTTTTTCCATTGTGTTTCAATATTCAATAGTTTGACGGGTTTGTCCGCTATGTAATCTTTGGTGGTTTTGATCTTGATATTTAAAATCAATTTTGAAACTACGTTCGTGTGGGAAATAACCGGGTTTCCCCAACAATTGGTATCAGAGCTTCGGTTGAGGTTATCATGGTGGTCCCGTTGCTAAAAAGATACAGTTCGTGCTATTGAATATTGTTCGTTAGAATTAAAATGTCAAAATACGTATCAGTTGAGACATCAAGTTCTTCATCTGGATCGGTGAGGAGGGTGATGTCAAATGCAAACTTCTCGGTGGAGTTGTTCGATGGATCTGGTCATTTTGGCATGTGGCAAGGCGAGGTATTAGACGCTTTATTCCAACAAGGTCTAGACATCACCACTGAGGAAGAAAAGCTCGTAAATATGAAGGAAAAATAATGGGGAACAATCAATCGTTTGGCGTGCAACACGATTCGATCTTGTCTTTCCAAGGATCAGAAGTATGACTTCAAGAACGAGACTTCTGCAAGAAAGATGTGGAAAGCATTGGAGGAAAAATTCA